CGACCTCTACCACCGACGAAAACATTGAAAAGGCAAAGGAAATCGTGTTCAAAAATCCTCATGTGAGTGTTAGAGAGATAGCACGAGAGCTAGGCATCGGTCGTGAGATGGCTCGTTTGATTTTGGTGGACAATTTGTGTATGCGACGTGTCAACGCCCGGCTTGTTCCGATTCACCTCAATTTGTTCAACATTATCAACGATTTTAAGGCCAAACATTCAATAAATACCATCGAACAGCCACCGTATTCACCTGATCTTGCACCGTGTGACTTTTTCCTGTTTCCCAACCTCAAATTACCACTCAGAGGAACGCGTTTTGAATCCATAGAAGACGTAAAACAGAATTCGCAGAGGGAACTCAAAGCCATACCGGAAAGCGCAACATATTAAAAATGTTTTTTGATGATTGGAAGAAACGTTTGGGCATTTGTTATATCGCTTCTTATGGGCATTATTTTGAAGGAGATAAAATAAATATTGATGAAGATTAAGAATTTTGCGTTTTATTTATTTATGACCGGAAACTTTTCGGTCACAATGTATGTACATATATATCATCTATTAATTTAATTCCGTGAAAATTGCTATATACTTAATATTGAATAGCGGCCCTATGCTCCTCCTAAGAGTTATATATATATATATATATATATATATATATATATATATATACATATATTGTACATATTGAAGAATGTAAAAACTATAACACTTAAAAATTAAAAATTATTTTCTCTAATGGAAACATTTTTTTAGATATTGTATTCAACAATATTTTTACGGTATCCCAAGACTATATAAAGTATAATAACCGATTTTGAAAATTGAATTTAAATTCAATAAATTTACTAACCTTAACTTTAAGAAAAAAATTCTCTTCAGACTCACGTTTCTTTAATGATTTTATAAACATAATTTCAATTCATAGAATTCAAGCTCAACTGATATAATTAAATTTAAAAAAAAATCTATATTCTATATCTCTTTTAAAAATACTTGAATTACTTTCTGTGACCTTTAGAGGTTCATAAATCACATAAATGACTTTAAATAATTTTTATTTGAAATGGTATGAAAAAATTGTGAAAAAAAATATATTTTTTTGAATTTTTATAATTTATTTTATCACGTTTTGACATTAAAAATATATAAATATATAAGTATGTATTTATGCATTTATGTATGTATGCGTGTATGTGCATGATGCATGATTTAAAATTTTCAATTACAAAGTATGCCTAAAATATGTTTTTTTTTATTTTAATGACAGCGTAGAGAAAATATATTTTTATATATAGTTATATATGTTTCTTATATATATTTATGCTTTTATAGTATCTGTTTAGATTTAAATATATTCATAAAGATATTTAGATATATATAATTCTGTTCTATTACTTTTCTTAGTACATTTGAAACACGTATAATTTTAAAAACTATAGTTTGAAATTTTAATTTAAATTACAAATATATAATATGTTGAACTTTTGTTAAATATATATGTGTATAGTAATTTTTTAAAAAGCGGTCTATATTTTATATAGAATATAATGAATTTTTATTGTATTTTTGTAGGAGAAAGAAAACATATTAATGAATTCACAATTGTACAATTTGTAAAGTTTTAGTTAATTAAATATAAAAAAAATTTAAAAAATTAATACATTTATACATACATCAACATACATTGTTGATTTTTTTTTTCTATATAAAAATAAATTGTGGAATTTTATTCACTGGTGAAAAAATTATATGTAATTTTAATAATAATGCTTATTTTTTTTTAACTGATATTCTTTTTTTTAACTTATATTGTATAATGGCAATGCACGATGGACGATGACAGACTGTGAAATGACTTCCATGAATAAATAATTTTTTAAAACGATTTTAGCTAATTATTTTTTTTAATTTTTTTTTCTATAATATTTTTTTTTTATAATCGAGTTCTTTTGTTATTTAGATACTTTTTTATGCATTCACGTACATAATTTATTTTATTTTAAACGTACTTTTATGTTGTTAATTAAATTTCGATTATTATAAATTTATTAGTATTTAAAAAATAAATAAATAAATCAAAATTAATATACATAAAATAATTATTCTAATAAATTTTAATTTTAAGAGATAAGAAAATTAGTTTGAGGGCGCGTTTGCTTTATATACAATCGTATTAAGTTTTGTTCATAATTTATTTCAATTAATTTTATTTTTTATTTTTATAATTAATTTATATTTTATCCATACTGAATAGTTTATTTTACTGAATAGCTTATATTCCTTGTTGAAGCTTCAAAGTAGTAGAAGTGTGATTATTGAAGTGTGATTGTTAAGAAAATAATTTAATATATCTCATGCTTATATTATCCAATTAGAACAAAAAATCCACTATATACGCAATGGTTAGCTCAGGAAGCCTTTACACCCTCCGTTAAATTTAGTCTTTTCTCATATTATTGAAAATATAATACATGATTTCTTTCATCATTATTACTATTTATAATTTTTAATAAATAAAACTCCTCCAAGTATCGAACTTAGCCCTATATATCAGTATCCGCGTTATGCTCTTACTAAGAGCGGTGTCTTTACCCAATACACCAAGGAAATAATACTGATAATAATAATAATATTAATAATAATAATAAGAATCAGTCTTCTGCTGATGATTATTTTCATTATTAAAAAATTAATCATTATTTGAAAGTTAACTTTATAAGTATGTCGGTAAGGACTATCAATTGTAAACGAATCCTCATAGTAGAGACCGCCATTTCTATTACTCATATACAAATTATATGACTTTCTAATATTATTATGAGAAAAGGGAAAAATATTAATTATAAATTATAATTATATAATTAAAATAAAAATAATAAATTTATAAATAATAATTATATAATTATTAATTTATTTGT